TTGGGATCTTTAGTTCAAATTAGTCAGAAACTGATTTTAGGAACACTCCGCTCTGATACCACTCGATGGTCTCGAATAGAGGTAAAAGTCTAGAGGGGGGTGAATAGACTTTTAAAGCTTTTTCAACTTTAAAAGTTTTCCCTTCTAGATGAGTTGATCTATAATCTTTTGGGAGATTTATTGATGCACAGCGGAAGTCTTTAACCTCTTAGAGAAATGGTGTATAACAACTTTCTATGATGGATGAAGTTTGGGCTTTGTAAGGTGAGCAGTTGGCTTGGCAATTGGCTAGAAAGCAGGGAACTGCTGAGGCAACTGCTAGCGATATGCTCAGTGTATGATGAAAGTGCACTCAGAATCTTTCTTAGAGTGGAAGGATCTTTCTGATGATATGACAAGATAAATTAATAATCAATCTTAATTAGAGCAGTGGTCTCACCAGTTGGGTGGTAACCAGGGAACTGCTGAGGCACCTACTTAGGTAATAGTGAAGTTATGGGAAGATTGATTATATGGTGTTGCTCAGGATGATGTGGGCTTTCTGAAGATGTGCATTAGTTCGAGTAAGTGAGAGTTTTACTGGAGCAGTGGTCTCAGCAGTTGGGTGAAATTGAGAGAACTGTTGAGGCAACTGCTGGGTTACCTCTTTAAACTATAGTGATTAGTCTGAACAGATTTCTTGAATATAGAGTTGTGAAGGTCTGGTGAAGTGGAGATGTTCAAAGGAAACACTTTTGCGTGAGCAGTGGGCTTAGCAGTTGGGTAATCACCAGGGGACTGCTAAGGCAACTGCTATGCCTTAAGTAGGATTTCCTGAAGTATAATGGAACAGACCTTATAGTTGTGATATTGTGAAGCTCTTGTATCTCAAAGAAGGTTAGTTATTAAGCAGTAGGATAAGCAGTATGGTCAATTAAGACTACTGCTTAGGATTCTGCTGGCAAACTACAGTCTTTTGTGAGAAGTGTTCAGTGTGTGCTTTGTTGACTGAAAATGAATCAACACACAGTATATCCTGGTTCAGAGGTGGTGTAATCCTCCTACATCCAGTCCCACCCTCTTTCAGATGGATTTCACTAATGTATTAAGCCCAATACACTTAGTGTCAATCTAGCCTTGACAACTCTGGCCTAGATTGAAGGTGTTTCACGAGGAGTACAACACCACTCCAAGCTACTCAATCCTTTAGGTTTTTCTCAATTGATCCAGTGGGGATCAAAAGGTACTCCTGACCTATCTAACGACACTCAGGCCGTGAACAACTGTCCTCCTGAAGTGTATACAACAATTTCTGATCTTGTTACAAGAAAGTTCTAACCTCCAACTAGGAACTAAACTTCTAGGATTTAACAATGAACACTTGATACTAAGAAGTTTAGTGAAGCAAGAGTCTAAGCAGAGAGTCGTGGATAGAATAGCACTTCTTGCTCAGTGAAATATCTCTCTACTTAGGATGCTCAGACTTGGTTAGAAACTTTCGTTTCAGCCTCTATTTATAGGCTTTTTGGCTGATCAATCTTATCCGTTGGTTAGGATAATTTGATCTCTTCCGTTGAATTTCTGGCAAGGACGAATTGTACTTTCGTCTTTTTGTGCTGGAGCCTTTTAATGCGTCTGAAGAGTTTGTCTTGAATTATTTAGCCGCGGAGAGCATCTTTTCCAAATGTGCGTCCCATGCTGTAGACCCCTGTACTCGTTTAAGCATTGAAGGCAGGTCTAATATTGTCTTCAACTAATTTTGATCGCTGAAGTATCTCTTATGTGTGCATCTTCAATGCTCCGGATCCCAGTACAAATTTAGCATTCAATGCTAGTCAAGCTTGTCTTCAATCATATATATGATTTTCGAACTTCTTTCCTTTTAAAAATGTGACACACAATTAATTTTTGAGTCAAAGTAATGTATACCGGTAGGATTTAAATATCCGATTAAGGTAAATAAAAATTACCTTATTGCATTTTTACTTTTCTGGTAATATTTCTTTAGTCTCAAAATTTGTACATTTACATTTGTCACTTAAATTTGAATGCTATAAAATGAGACACAATGTACACGTGCAAAGTATAGTGGCATCATCAAAATCTATCAAAATTGGGTACTAACAGATATTCTCCTCTCCTTAGAACAGGAGGAGTGCTGTTGTTTCCTTGTGCATTAGAGTCTGTAGCCATTGCTGTAGAAAACTGACCGTTCAAGATTTGATCAAAAATTCTAAGGCAGAACCTCGAGATTCTGAAAATCAAAGATCAACCTCGAGATTTAGGATTTCGATATAAAAGCTTCGAAATAAAGATCTTGATATTTGTGTCTCGAGATTTCAAAAGTCGAGTTAGGATCTCGAGATTTCAAATGTCGAGATTTGAATTGTCGAGATATACCCTTCGAGATTTTGAATTTCGAGAAACCAAAAGTCGAGATCTAGATGTCGAGAACTTGAAAAATCGAGACCTAAATATCGAGTTCTGAAATTCGATATCCTCAATGTCGAGATCCTGCAGGAAGAAAAATTTGAGATTCCAAAATCTGAAAGTTGTTCCCGATACTTGTTGATGTCGAGATTCTCCTGTGAAAAATTACAGCTCGAAAAATCGAGTAGAGCCTGGAAAAATACTGATCTCTAGATCTACCCGTCGAGATCTCAAAAACACAAACTTTGTGAAAAACAAAAACGAAGGTATACTGCTTGATCGTCAAAAGAGTGCAATCTCAACAGTATAACTTTTACAGTGTTTTGATCAAGAACAGGAGTACAGATGTAAAAAACGAAAGAATACAGATGAACGAAGAAAAATAACAGAGTCTTCACCGTTGTTCTTCTGATCAGTTCTCGGTCGGCTCTGATACCATTTGTTAGTCCCTGTTTTCTAGCACAACAATATTAAACGATCTATCAAGAAGCTAAATAGCAGAAAGATGAACAAGATGAAACCCTTCTTTGATAAACCGTGAACTCGTACAGAGAATGATATGCAATAAGACTATTTTGATCGAGTACGAAAGTTAACGCAAACATAAACCTAAAGCGCCTTTTTATATGCGCAGGTATAAGGTTTGCGTAAAGGCTTTCAGTCTGATATGGGCCTGACACATAGGCCCCATATCTTTTATACCCTAATAAATACAAACGTTAAATACAAAGGATATAATAAAAGCTAATCTATTACAAGACATATGACAAGCTTGATTCACAATAAAATGATCTTCAACAAGTAGCCAATAAATACACATGAATAAATTCGAATTATAGTATAATAATAGCACACCAGGAAAAATAAAATGCATTATCTACCATTCATTATTCCCAATGATGAAATTATCGCAAGAGGTCATCAAGAAACTTCAGGATGAGAAGCCGTAGGCCATTGCCGATCAAAAGGTCAATTGGGAGAACAATGAATGTCACAACCCTAGCTAGGGTGTGAAAATTGGGGGTGAAATCCCCTCGTGGAGTTGTCAACGGTGATTTATGGTGCTCCTGGAAAGCTGGAAGGCTTTCTATTTGGTTTCCGAAAATTCAGACTATAGGTGGAGCCGGTAGACTCCAGAGCCAAGATCCGCTGGAATGTAGCCGATGTATCTGGCCAAAACCAGCTCGGTGAGACCATGTTGATTTCATATGGACGTAGTTCTTCGAATTCATACGCGGTTGTCGAATGTGGAAGACTGAAAAACTCCATGAGAATGTCGGAGAAGGAAGGAGAGCTGGAGCATGAAAGTTGTGGTCATCATCGATGTAAGGTATTTAGATTTAATAAGTGAAGGGTAAAATTGAAAATTTAAAATCAAGTTTCCCTAAATAGAATTAGATAGATCATACGCAGGGGAGAAACTTAAGTAGGTACTATTTTTATAAAATTGCTATGAATGAGTCCTACTGGGAGCAATTTTCTCATATATATAATCAGAATTAAAATACAAATGCAATAAACATTAAATAATGTACTACTATTCATTAAAACCTTCAAAACTAGTATGTCGCTTTGCATGTCACGTAAACTAGTGCTCTACTAGTTTAATATCTGGGACTAAAATAAGTTTGTATAATTAAATATTTAACTTTTAAAATGAACACTTAAGACATGATAGAATGGTATATGATTTATTTGATGTTTCAACCTCACATTGATTATGGGTCCAAATTCTGAAATTTGAATGATGTAGGTCAATAATTTTGAAATTTGAATGATGAAGGTATGGGCTCTAAAGCCTCAGAAATTTATAGTGTATATTAATATTATATACTCCTTCTGTCCCCCTGTTATTGTCCCATTGCGGTTTACGATGCTTGACTGACAATAAAGCAAACAGATCCCTGTCTGCACTTAAATCATTTTTAAAAAAAATTGCATATTCTGAAACTACATTAAAAGATTTACAAAGTCGCAAAAACCAGAATCAAATTTGATAAAAATTTGATACATAAAGTAAGAGATTAAGAGTGATTTGTGTTGACCAAGTGAATAGGAAATGGGACAATAACAGGGGGACGGAGGGAGTATATATATATATATATATATATATATATATATATATATATATATATATATATATATATATATATATATATATATACACATATAAAACTAGGCTCGCGAGCCTAAAATTAGTAGGCTCGTTTATGGCTCGACACCTTAACGAGCTGGCTCGAGCTCGAGTTTGACCGAACTCGATTCGAGCTTTGACCGAGCGGCTCACAAGCGGCTTGGCTCATTTGCACCCCTTTTTATCGCTTTGAATTTAAAATCTAGAACCAGAAGTATAGGTGTTTTAACTCACACTCAATTTTCTTGTAATAACTCAAAATCCAAGGATAATTGATATATTTCCATTATAACCTTCTAAAAGAAAAGAATCATTGATGCAGCTTTTTGTTGTACTGGATGTAGACAAGATCATTTAACTTTGATTGCAGCAAACGGTTCCTCTTCTTTGAATGTATCTAAATGTATATTCAATACTATTATATTTAATGACTCACATAATCAAAATCACTCCAATTACGCTCACATGGTGAGGTGCTACAGGTTTGACTCAAAACCTTAAGTGCAAACATTTGGAGATTTGGCGCATCAGACCCATATGAAAGCCATCATTCATCTACAAATTATTGAATTAATTAAATTAAAACTAATTTACACAATACTAAGAAAATAAAAAATGTAAGATGATAAATTCATTAGTATAATGTATTAGTTGACATGGAAACTTAATGGGTGCGACTTTTTCCCCAGCTCTCATAGCCATTGTTGATCCCAGAGATCCTCTTGCAGATCTGTAAAGTACCAATTCACTAGTAATACTGTCAAGTGCATCTTCATCTACGAGCTTTTGTATTGCTTTAAAGAGCCCAATTTTTATCTCTTTGTTTGACTCCATCTTCGCCAGATCATTCTTATAAAATATGCTTGGATTTAGGTAATAACCGCCTGCACAAGACTCATAGAGAAACTATATTACTAAATATTAAACTACAAATATTTGCAATAGTCATGTTGTACTATTAAGACAATTTATGTGTGCAAAGAAGATTACAGTAAAAAAGACAATGTAAAACAGATTGTAAAACTATTGAATAATGGAAAAAAGACTCATAATAAACAATTTTATTGTACTATTAAACAACAGAAAGAAGATTACAGTAAAAAACAATGAAAAACAATAGAAAACAGATTGTAAATGGAAAGAATACTCATAATAAACAATTTTATTAAATTATTAAACATTAGAAAGAAGATTACATAAGAAACCATGGAAAGTAGATTGTACCTGCATGCAAAGCATGATGGAATTTATTATTTCATCTATTATCAATTGTCTGCCATACTTTTGAACAAGTGAACTGGTCATTCCCAAGATTCTTTTCAATTTGATCTTTTGATCTATCCATAAATTCATAAATATAACTCATACTAGGTTTCTCTTCTGTACCCACCAATCTTCTGACATCAACCAGTGGAGCCAAGACTTGGCAAGTAAAATAAACATTATCGCAAAAGGCCTGCCCAGTGCCTTGCCACTATTCGTGCAATTTTTTCCCACCAGCCTTCTGTGCAAATTCACTTTTGATCCATTTTTCAGAAATAAATAAAACTTGCAAATGACACCTATTCTCCCAAATACTCTTAAGAGTGTAAAATGCAGTAGCAAACCTGGTTACACATGATCTATGCAACTCTCTCCCGCTTGTTAACTTTCGCATTAGGTTCAATATCCTCCCATGGCTATATACATAAACAACCATTGTTTTACCTTCACGTAAAGCACTTTTTATCGTGGGCAGCTTATCACCAAGATCTTGCAACATCAAGTTAATACAATGTGCAGTACAAGGAGTCCAAAACATCTTACGATGTTGTTCTTCTAAAATCCTTCCCGCGCTGCCTTGAAGTTAGATCCATTATCGGTGATGAACTATTAAGATTTAACATGAGAAATACTGAAATTAGTATTAATTAATAATTGAATATAAGTTAATCCATAGACAGTAGATTCAGAATTTAAAAGATCACCTGAACTATGTTCTCATCCCCCACATGTTCAATAATCTCATTAATCAACCCCACAATAAGATTTGCATCTTTCACATGCTCGGATGAGAATAAGAAACGAGACGGGAGAGGGGAATATACTAAAGAGGTGATATCAAGTCTGACTAAAGCTCCAAACATACACACTACCAATGAAAAAATAACATAAAAATGAAAGCTTAATAACTAAGAAACTTAGCAACTTGGAATTCAATGGTAAAAAATTGCGGCTGCACCAGTTTGGATAAACGAGAGGGAAGAATTTAGCAGTTTGGATAAATTTAAGGGAGAACTATCAAATAAGCCCTCGAACTTTCATAAAAAGTGCAAATAAGCCCTTTCAGAGGAGGCTTGTTCGGCCGTCGACATTTGGGGCGGTTTCCAGTGAAATTTTTTAATGAAATTTTTTATAATCTTCTTCATTAAGTCTAGTTTACTCATACCAAATTTTAGCTAAAAATTCAATCGGGAAGGCAGTCAAATGAATTTTTGAAGATAACTGCGCAGTTAGGCAGCGCAGAATATTTCAGAAAATCATTTGACTGCCTTCTCGATTGAAGTTTTAGCTGAAATTTGGTATGGGTAAACTAGACTTAATGAAGAAGATTGTCAAAAAAATTCAACAAACAATTCTACCGGAAATCACCCCAAATGGCGACAGCCGGACAAAGTCGCCTGTAAAAAGGCTTATTTGCACTTTTTATGAAAGTTTGAGGGCTTATTTGATAGTTCTCCCTAAATTTAATAACTACGTAATAAGAAACTTAGCAACTTGGAATTCAATGGTCAAAAATTGCGGCTGCAACAGTTTCGATAAACGAGAGGGAATTAATAATCCCATGATTGATTTAATTTTTTTAACAAGAGGGAAGAATTGAAGAAACGAGGGAAAGAACTTACCCGTTGATGTCACAATTGCAGCTCCTCACGGTAGCACTGTAGCACTCGCAGGTCCTCCCAGTATCATTGTAGCACTCGCGGGTCATAGTAGCAGCGGCCGGAGCTCCTAGCAGTAGCGGTCGCAGCTCCAAACGATGTAGCAGCAGTAGTCAAAGCTCCAAACGATGACGACTAGCTATTATATTTTTAGGTTTTGTAAGCGTGAACTTTTTTTAATATATACCGATTAATAGCGAGTAACTCGCCAATTTGACCAACTCACCGACTTGACTAACTTGTTGAGTACTCGGCAAGTAATTCAGAAAATTAACTCAGACCAAGTTAAGGTACGACTCTGCAAGGTAAGAGACTGAGTAGAGAGTACTCGCCGAATAGATAATTCAGGCCACAACTTGATAAAATGATGAATAAGGGGAAAGTGCTCATGCTTTTTAAGACAAAAAAGGAAATCAAGTACAGCAAACAAAATGTAACATTGGAAGTACAAACTAGGGAATGTTTACAATTCCCCAAAAAGTAGCACCTTTTTGCTTAAAAAATTGAAAAGTGTGTTATAATGGATATTTCTACTTAAATTTAAAAAGTAAAGTTAAAATCTAAAAAAATAATAGTAATGCTTTTAACAGTTTTTTATTTTTACTATTACACAAAAAAAAACATTTTTCATCAATCACTACTTTTACAGTTTTACTTTGACAAAATTACTTTATTTTCAAACCTGAATAATTTTTATTATTAAATATTTTTCAAAACTAGAAACAAGCAAACCTGAACACTCCCATAGTCATTCTGCCAATTAAATTACTTCATCCCAACAATCAAATTGAAAAAAAAAAGATAAATGTTATTCTTTAAAAGCGGTTCAACAAAAAGGCAGTATGAAGTTCAACAACAAATTACATCTCGGAAACTACTGAAAGAATTACAGTTGCTAGCTGGTTTATTCTAATGTACATTGACTAACACTGGAGTCTTGAGTAAAGAGTTTAGCAAGTCGCTAGCCTAAGCTAGCAGCATAAACTACTCCAAATGAATAATAAAAGGGAAAAAAAGAATGATGAATGGATAACTCACTACATCTACATCGCATAAGCCTAAAATGTAAAAACTACAGCCTCACAAGACATGTCAACCTCCAACATGAACTTTATGCACTTGACCAGGAGGACCCAAGGCTGAAAAGGAAAAAACAACGAACTCTAAACATCTTTCATGAGGAGTTATTAGATTCATCATCATCAGAAGTAACCGGGGTATCAGTTGACTCGGCAAGAGATTCCAGCATGAGGACAACCTCAGCTGGATCATCCAAATAGTATTTCGCTTTACTGGGCTTTTGTCCAACCGTGCAGGCAAAAACCTTTGTGTTGTGAGAGAGGATACTTCTTGATAGACCATCACCTATTACTTCAAACATATCCTCATCTGACCTGTCATCACCAATGCACAGCACAAAATCCGCCAGCTTCCCTTTCCCTGCCATTGATGTGAATATTTTCTCTGCAACTAATCCTTTGGTGACTCCCTGAAAAGACAATGCAAATAATACTTGAAATTACGCAATTATAGACACTAATCTTTGGTACAAAGGTGGCCGAACTCATACCAAAAAATAACAGGTTAACATTGACCATTTAACACAAATGATTGTCTGATATATTTTTAAAATAATAATAATAATTCTTATAGTTATAAATATAATTATGATCATGATCATAATCATAATTATAATCATAAGAACAACATTATTTATTATTATTATTATAATTATGACTATAATTGTAATTGTAATCACAATAAGAAACAGGTGCCAACAGATGGTTTGAGGAAGTACCAGGGACATACAAACCATTACTTTGGGTAAAGGTAAAAATGTGGGTGAAGTTGCTGAAATTATGGCTGAATTAATCATAATCACCATAACTATCTACACATTAATCCTGACTAGTTGAGGTCTGTTCACTCTGTTGCATTAAATTTAGAGTACCAATTTATTTCAATGTGCCACTTCCTTTCATTTCAGCCAAACAGTAACTTTTACACTACTTTTAACTTTTACATAAAGAGTGATAAAGACGGATGAACAGAAAGTTTTCCTACTAAAGTTAAAAATCATTAACATTTGCACCCCAAAATTTTAGTTTTTCAAAATATGAATTCTTAATTTATTTTAGATCTATCAAAATGAAGTGCAAACTACAATTTAGAAGAAAAGATGGGATGTAAACTAAAAACTTCAGGGTGGAAATATTAATGATTTAAAAAATGGAGTTCAGACACAATTTTGAGTGACAGGTGAGATGCAAAGATAATAATCAACACATACTATTATCCTCTCAAAACAGTACAAACTATGCATACCTGAGGCTTGACTTCGACAATGAACTGCCCACTTTTCACAGCAACTGGTTCATTTGCCAAAACACTCTCTAGATGATCAAGCATCTCCTTTGCCTGAGAAAACCCAAAACCAGGATCCGCATCACGATACTGCCAAACTATAGCACTATCCTTTTTCTCAATGGAAGAACCATCTGTGGCATCAGTATAAGATTGCATCACTGGTTCTGCAAGCTCCATCCATCCAAAATCAGAGCTCTGACATGGCACTTCCCAATCATGATCTTGTGACCACCTGTGTTTACCAGTTTCTAAATGAGCATACTTCAAAAACAAAACAAAGTAAGGCTTCGTTTGGAGGCCATATCAAGATATTCTTCTTCTCAGCGTGATAGCAGAATAGGTAACTTTTGACTTATTACTGATAGGGCTGATAGTCTGAAATGGAAGTTATCTAACATTTTTTTAGCCGATTCAGCCATCTAGCCAAATAAACCTTACCAAAATGGACTCAAAGAAAATAATATCATTTGTCTCTAGCAACCCAACCAAATAAAGACTTAATGTAATAACAAATTGAAAAGACTTCATAATCAAACTAGAGAACTTCCAAGATCATTTCCTGTCATATTAAAGTGAAAAAATGCTTTTGAGAACCTCACGTTTTTGTCATAGCCAAAACTCTGCCTCTGCCCCAAAAATGTATTGTTTGTAATACCTATTTGAGTATCACAAACTCAACCCATTTAAAAAAAGGAGCAACTTGTATACTTGAAAGATTTATAAATCAGACCCAGATACATGAAACAAATAGAAATCTCAACATTCACTCAGGCATACACATACATATGTATCACCAACACTTTACACAAATAGATAGAGAACTAGAGATATGAGATAACTAAAACATTTGTAATGAAGCTGAGATGAGAAGGAGCAAATCACACCTCAAGAAATAACCATGCTCTGCAGCAAGCCCCAATTTCCTACAAGGAGAAAACCACCTGCTTAAGCTTTCTTTCCCTCTTCCACTAACTATAAAGACTGTATTATTTTGATCACTGCAGATTTTGTTTAAAATTGATATGACTCCATCACTAGGAGACTTGATGATAGAATTTTGGGGCATAACGGTGCCATCATAGTCCAGCAATATTGCTCTGCTCTTAGCCTTAACATAGGCGGCCACAATATCATCTATTGCGAGCTTCCGGAAGTTGGGGTCTAACGCCACAACCCTGAAACCAAAACCCAAACCAATCCCATAGCATCTTTTTATAAAGTGGTCCACACAAGTTCTCTCCATGTCTTGCAAAAAGCTTCTTGACCAATAAGCTATATCATGGGAGCTAATATAACGGTAATGTTTCTCATGTCTCATCTGTTTCTCTTGTTCAGCCATCGATATAGCTTCATTCATTGCCTCAGCAGTAGCTTCAACATTCCATGGGTTTATACGGATTGCCCCACTTAGTGAAGGGGAACACCCGATGAATTCAGATATCACTAGCATGCTCTTCTTTGCCCCACCCAGATCAGAATCCTCTTGAATTCCTTGTCTACAGACAACATATTCATATGGAATCAGATTCATCCCATCCC